TCTCTCATACAGCTTTCACTTTTCTTTTTTTGTTCTTTATATTCAATATTTTAACTATCATATGTCTTGGAGAGATTATTTTCTACTCATCTTTTGGGTGTCCTAAAAACCTCCTATACATGGATGGCTGTATCTTTCTCAAGACTTGCTAAATTTTCTCTAATATTAATTTACTTATGTTTTCTACCCCTTTAGCTTATACCTCTTTTCCTTCTTCTATGGCCATGACTCATAGATTTGGTTTTTTAATGATGTTCAAAATGTCTTGAATGTTTAGTCCATACTTCCTTCTTTTATCTTTATCTTATCTGACTGTTTTACCTTGTCTTCAAGCCTTGGTATTCTGTCTTTGATTTGGTTCAGTTCAGGCTTTCAATTGAGTTTTTATTTGACTTACTAAGACTTTTGTTTCTAGAATTTCAGTTTGAATTTTTCAAGAGTTCTGTATCTTTATTGAATTCCTCTTTCAATACCCTACATTGTCTTTCTTATTTTGCTCAACTGTTTGTATTCTCTTAGAATTCATTCAGCTGTTTATTTGTATTGTCTTTGATTTCATTCAGATGTTTATAATGTTCTTTTGAGTTCTTTGTCTGGGTTTTCATCTTCTTTACTTATTCTTAGTGTCCATTACTGTGAGGTTGTTAACTTTTGAAAGTGTCACATTGTCTTGTTTTTAATGTTTCTTGTGTTTCTGCATTTGGGTTTCATGCATCTGAGGCCAAGCCATTGGTTAGAAGTTTTAAACACCTGTAGTTGTTTGGTCAAAGTGTTCTCAGAATTTAGGTAGAATTATGTAGGGGCAGATATAATGGTATAGTTATTCACCAATGGGCAAAAGGTAGCTTAATAGCCAAACTTTTGCCCTTATGCTCAGTGTATCAGGCCTGATTCCACAATGACTCAGAATAGAGGAATATTAGCTGGAGTTTCTTGTAGCTCCTAGTGTATGGGTTTGTACTATATATGGATTGAGGGTGGGGCTGGTAAGGGCTTAGTTGTTCATTTCTGTGCTGCTTCCACCTTAGAAGCTTCCCTTCTTCATTTACTAGAATTTGCTTTTGACTGAATGGAGTTTTGTATTTTGTGAGCCAGGCAGGTACCCACTTGATGCACAGGTCACCCTCAGGAGAAGCACATGTGCCAGTCTAGTGGTATCCCTCAAACACATCTGTTACTGGGAGAAACAGAGAATTGAGTTTTACATTGATGGTTAAGAGTTTAGGGACTCAGCCACTGCCTGCAGGTCTCAGTGCTTTTAGACCCTGCCCAGAAGTCCACCACTCTGTAGGAAGGAAGAGGCTGATGGAAACTGTGTGATTCCTGGGTATTGTGCTCAGAGGTCTCAGTCCCACTTTGTAGCAAGAGATAGCTCCTGGATACAAAGCACTTCAACAACCAGAAGCTAGGTGCTGTTCCTGCAGTGATCCTCACACAATGGGACTTGCTGTCACAGGGAGGGTGGGGCCACAGATTACCATGCCCTCTGTGCCTGAGCTTCTAGCTGCTTAACTTTCTCAGTGGGTCCATGCCAGACCCCCTCCCTACAGCCACCTCTCATGGCCATCTAACACCCAGACACTATGCCTAGGTTTCCCAAGACTCCCTGAGCTGTGATTATTTCTTATTTTCAATTTCCCTAAGTAGCTCAGTCTCAAACCATAGACTCTCCATTACAATGATGCCTCACCATAGCTCTCCAAGACATTGGAAGTGAATGGATTTCTTTCTTGTCTGATGCTATCCTGTCATGCTGCAGGCAGGGGTCACTGTCCCACCAAATCCCCACATGAGAATTAAGGCTTGAGTGAGGTATGGGCTTGTCCTGCAACTATGTCTGCCAATCTGTCTCAAAGGCTGCTAGATTACCTTGTGATGGAGGCTTAAGCTTTCCTTCCAAGGAGTCAGGGCTGGAGCAGCAAAATCTGTCCTAATTTACCCTGTTGCCTTTCTGATTTTTGAAACATGGAAGAAATTATAGGGGCTGTTTGGAAGATTCATGTGCAGATGTGTTTTAGTTCTGTACAGATATTTTTATTTAGGCTTTTCCGCTGTCCTGTCTCTCTTTCATGGGTCCTGGTGCTCTTTCTCCCTTTCAATCTTCTGAATATAGTCTCTCCTGTCTTACATTCACTCTTCACATTTACAGAGTCAGATGGAGAAAGATTCTACTCCATTATCTTGTCTCTTATCCAAATCAACCTTCCTTATTATATAATCTTAAGGTAGCATTACATTCTTTATGTGAGATTTTATATTGCATTTTTGCATAAATACTAGTAAGTAGTATTGATCTAAGTTTTCCTTTTTCTTTTTCAGCAGTATTGGGGTTTGAACACAGGGCCTTATGTTTGCTAATCAGGCGCTCTACCACTTGAGCCATTCCCCCAGGCCTGACCTATATTTTGTTTTTTATTATCTAATTGATGTGGCAAAGTTATAGGATTTTTCATTTAAAATGAAGCATTTTCATTCATTTATCTAGGCTAGAGTGTAACTTGTATAGTGTTTGTAATATTAAATATTTGAAAGTTTGAGAAAGGCTTGAAAATGTGCAGGAGTAGCATGGAAATTTGGGGAAGACAGTGCTTCTGGGAAGCAAGAGAGTTACCACAAAGAGATGAATGATAGAGTGCTCTTTGGAGAGCTTATGGTGGAGGGAAAAAAGAAGAAGAGAAATTTTAAATGGTATTTGCCAAATTCTGACTGATTAAATACAAAATGTTAAAGGAAGTGCTTCAGCAAAATACTCGTTTAATAATACCAATTTCTTAAACTTACCAAGTTACTGACTACAGAAGGGTCAGGCTGAGAAATTTTTGTCTTATTGAGGTTGTATATTGTGCTTGATGAGTCTGGAAATATACAAGTGACCATAGCTAAGCAACCTTTAAAGGTCTAGAAGGGACACTGAGATGGAATTTGAGACAACAGTGTTGAAGATGTATTCCTTTTTCTTTTCCTTCTACTTCTCCTCCCTCTTAATTTCCCTCTCTCCCCCTTTCTTGTCTCTTTCACAAAGCAAAATTCTCTAAAATGAAAGGAATGAAAGTGAGGCATCAGTGTCTGAGGGATTAAAGAAAAGGTGAACTTATTGATCCATGTTGTAAAAATCTTGAAACCTTGCAGAAATTATAAGGGGCTATTTGGAGGATTAATGTGCAGATGGCTTTAATTGTATAGAAATATTTTTATTTATGTATTTTTATGAGCATAATTGGAATTTTGCATCAAGGTTAGAAGAATGTGTCTTTGGAAAATTGGTTTATATTATGTCAAATATAGAAACTAATTCTATAAGAGTTGATATCTTTACAGTATTAATGCTTTTAATCCAGAACATAATGGGACATTTTAGTTTTTCAAATTTTCTTTAATCTACATCTATTGTGACTTGTAACTTTCTTGGTATAGACATTGCATTTCTAGTCTCTCATTTCATGAGAAATTTAATACAAAGGTTTTTTAAAACAAATGTATATTCACATATAAGAAAATGTAGTCTTTCTGATGTACATGTGTATGAGTTTTGATGTCCATTTAGAGTTGTGAACCACACCAATCAAGCCCATGCACAGTCCCACTCTTCATGAAATTCCCTCAGCCCCTTTCAATGTATTTCCCCCTCAGTACCAGTTCATGGCTAGTTTCCAAAATTCTTTCCACATTTTTTTGACACAGGGTCTCACTATGTAACCCCGTGGCTGATCTAAAACATGAGATCTTCCTGCCTCAACCTCCTGAGTGTTGTGATTATAGACGTAAATTACCACATTGGAATTCTTTCCACTTTTTATGTTCCATGAATTATAGTGGGAGACATGAAAACTAAATCTTTATTTCAGCACTAAGACAAAGTGGAACTTTTTTTCTCTGTGAGTTCTGTGTGGCTTCTGAAGAGCTGTCTCCAAATGATGAAGTCGTTCTGGATGGAACTATTGGCACGAGGTAGAGGTGCATCCCTGGAGTCCTTATGGTAAGAAAGAAATCCCCTCAGGGCTGAAGCCATCTGTTAAATGACTCTGGAGGGCCATTCTCCAAATGCAAGTGCCTTCAGCAAAGAGCAAGATAGATGCTTGGTATGATGGAGCTTTTTAATTTGGGTTAAGACCAAGTTGTTTGAATGCCTCATTATTAGGGAAATAACACCACAGTAATTTAGGTTACACATGACCAACATAATGTGTGACACACAGCAAAGCTCCTAAAACTCTTGAGAAACTCTGAAATTGATTAAAATTAGGAATAAGGACATCCTCCTTCATAGTTATTCAAGTACCTGTCCCTAAAGCTGTCCATGGGGATGCATTCTCTCCTCTCTACCATCATAGCTGGCCTATAGGTAGTTCCTCAGAGTATCAGAAATGGAGGGAGAGAAGGGCCCTGAATAGCGGACAGTTCAATTTACTTGAGGCTCCTACAGAAACAGTTAACAATTTCCACTTACCCAGCTTCTGGGAACAATTCAGGAACCTCTGTCTTTCTGCTTACTTTATTTCTTCCTAGAATTTGGTTGTTGGTTCTCCTGTTTCAGGCAGTTCCTGGATGTCTTTGAGGAATAGGTGAGGACAATTCCACCCACATTACTTAGTAGTCATGTGGAGCTGGACAAGTTAGCTTCTGTGTGACTCATTTTCTTCATGCTATAAGAGGGGGATATGGATATATTCAAAGTATCACTTCATGAAGTTCTGTGAAGTTAAGTAAGAAAATATAGATATAAAGAAAGAAAATGCAGAGACAGTCCTTAACAAATTGAAAGTAGTCAATTCGGTAGTTAGAGTGTACTTTGTTCAGAATTATGCAGCTAAGAACATTGAGGTGAAATTGGTGAAACGTCATTATCATATGCAACCCTCAGTTGACATATGTAGTTCCAGACTGTTGTGGTGACTGGGATCTTAAAATACTGCTAGATTCATCCTTAAAAATACATCCAGGTAACTAACTGGATCAACAAACTAATTTATCTAGGACTCGGCCTAGTTTTTAATCTAATTTTAGAAAGTTGATAAAATTAATTTCCTAGTAATTAGTTTTCTTATGGCTTGTTTCATGTCATGATTCCTCAGACTATAGATAAAGGGATTGGCCATGGGTGTCACTACTGTGAAGATGACAGTGGTCACCATGTCCTGTACAGAGTATAAAGATGAAGAGTGCATATAGACACCCAGAATTGCTCCATAGAATAGGAAAACCACAGCAAGGTGAGATCCACATGTGGATAGGGCTTTCCTTACTCCCTGAATGGATGGAAACTTTAATACACTAGAGAAGATATAGCCATATGAAACAGTGATACATGTGAAGGGTGTAATAGATGTCAGCCCACCCACAGTGAAGGCTATGAAGTCATTGATAAAGGTATCAGAACAAGATAGTTTTATAATTGCATAGGGGTCACAGAAGAACTGTTGTACAGCATTGTGGAAACAAAATGCAAGTTGCACCATGAGAAGAGTATGTAAGAGAGCATGCAGGTTTGTAATGACCCATGATAAGGCCACCAGAAGGACACAGAGTCTGGGCCTCATGATCATGGTGTAGTGGAGTGGACAACAGATGGCTATGTAGCGATCATAGGCCATGACACTCAGGAGGAACCCATCCATGTTGGAAAGTGATGAAGAAGTAGATCTGGGTCATACACTCCATGTAAGAGATGGACTTGCTGCCCACTATGTGATTCACCAGCATCTTGGGGACAGTGACTGATGAAAAGCAGATGTCAACACTGGAGAGGTTGGCCAGGAAGAAGTACATGGGTGTGTGAAGATGAGCGTCACAACAGATGGTCAAGATGATAAGAAGGTTCCCAGTGATGGTTACCAGATACATCCCCAAGAACAGCCCAAAGAGAACCTCTTCCTGCTCTGCCTTTCCAGAGAGTCCCAGGAGGAGGAACTCTGTGATTGTAGTCTGATTGTCTCCATCCATGTCTGTGGGGAAGAAAGAGTCATCATACAATAAGATCATATGCCAAGATTTGAGCATAAACAGTTTATATAGTTTAGAAGTAACATACCTTGGTTGAGAATCAACTAAAAGTGGATTATTTTATTTTCTAAAAGCCTGGTTAATTTCATTACGGTTTCATTACAAATGGCTATAGTTTTATTAACTCTACTCTTATTAGCTGAGTAATAATTGGGTACTTTTTCATGTAGTATTTAACTTAGTCTAATAATTGTAGCATTAAATTTCACCTTATAGATAAAGAGACTAAGGATTGGGACTTTTAGGTGACTCACTCAGATTCACATAGGCAATAAATATTAAAGTCTCAAACAGCTTCCATGGTTTTTCTTCATGCTGTATTTTGATTAGCTACCTTTTATTGAAACTGGCAAGTGGCAAGTGCTGTATCACGTATCCCAGTATAATCCTGAATTTTTTATCTGTGGCTTCTCTGTTTTGTCTGAAGTTGAAAATCTCATGCAGTATGATAGAGCTGCCTTGTGATTTGTTCTTGGCATTTTATTTCTCATTAAGTTGTGGTCACTACAACTGATAGCCTTGGTCTGCTGACTTGGGCTGCTGGACAGGTTACTATGTTCAGTGTTGCCCTCCTTTCTACAGTAAGAAGAAAGCCTGCTACCTATGGTAGCTAGGTTGCTTTCTTATCAGAGGAAAGAGAATTAAGGACTGATAAAGATCAAATTCATGTGGCACATCCAAAAATAACCCCAGGACTAAGAAGTCTTCACTAGCAGATGGGGGGTCGAGTAAACCACTGTGACTGTAGTGCTCATGGAAGAATTTGTAGTGTTAGCAAGAAAGAAGAGGATATGTGTTCCCAGGTCGATGGAAGGCCTGAGGAAGAGGGAAGAGAAAGGCCAGCATCAGTCATGAAAAGTGGCCTTACTACTGGGGGCAGGATAGTGTAGGGAATACTTTGGTGGAATTGGCTATAGAGTGTACTTATTAAGGGGAGAGTGGGGTGAGTAAGACTGTAAGAGTAAAATTAGTTAACTAAAGGACTGAGATGTGAAAGAATTCTACCTGGATTAACTCCCAGGGCCCAAGTAGGGAGAGAAGTAATAGGGGAAGCTGTCAGGTGCTCCTGATTGGACACGGCTAATGCAGACCTCAGAAGTTGAGGGTGAGAGAGCAGTGGGATGATGTATCATCAGAACACACGAGAGAGTATGCTGGCCAGTAAATACTAGTTTTCCCATCTTTAAGATGGGTTTCCCATAGCAGAATCAGAGAGGAAGAGGGATAGTAGTTTGTCAAGATCGTGTTGGAATTGCTACTAAGGTTCAATGCTGAGAATATGAAGCTCAAATTCATGAATTGAGATATCTGATGGCTTTAGGAAGGTCAGTTACTGGAAAAAGTAATTACCGTGTCATTGTTTAAACCCCAGGAAGTTGAACTTCCACAGAAACCACTCCATTGTAGTAGAGCACTGAATCCTTGTGACTCTGACTAGATCTTCATCAAGCATCCTATGAAACAGAATTCAGCTTTCCCTACAGCTTCCTTAGGAGTGCTTCTATAAGTCCTTTCACAATGATGGTTAGCATATTTGACTAAAATATGTTGATGTCTGCTTTCATTCATGGATCTCTGGTGAGTCAAGCTAGCATGTGAGTGTGTTGAGAAGTCTTACATATCTGTCTCCCTAATTTTTTGGGTCCCTGGACCATAAAATTTAAGGCTGCTTAGTCTCTGGACACCAGTCCAAGATAGCATCCCTCCAAGGGGCTGTAGATGACATCCAAGTAGCCTTTGTTAGTCAGTCACAGACCACAGTGGATAGACCTAGGGAAATAACTGACACAAACATGGAGATTTGGGGGAGGAATAGAAGAATTTTGCATGTCTGGCAAATATCCACAAATCTGAGGAAGTGGACTTTTGGCTCTGAGATTCCAGACAAGCTTTTTAGTAGCCTGGAGTCACAGATCCCACAGCCATAGCCCTAGTTGTACACTTTGTTTTTTACAATTCTTACTTTCCATTTCCACCTTGGAAATGCATTTGCTCTATTAGTGGATACTATATCCCAACAGAAAGGGCTGTCAGACCAAGAGCCATTTCCCCCTTTGAACATGGTTAGATGCAAAAGCGGCCAGTGTACTGTTTTCCCAGTACACTGTACATGTGAACCAGTCTGTTGCTGATGGAAATTGTGCCTCACCTGTTCTCCCAGCCCTGCTTACCTGGCTGCTGGCTGCTTCTGTCAGGTGTTGTCACAGAGTCCCTATGTCTGCTGGCTCCATTCTGGACCTGGGTGATGGGAAATTCACAGCTGTGCTGAGGAGTGAGCAGCCTTTTCTTACAGAGAACATTAAGAGTGAGAAAAGTGGCTCTTTCTGTCCAAGTGTGGGTGATTGAGGGCAAATAAATAGCGCCTCCTTTTCTGAAGATTGGGATTTTCATGAGAACTGTTGCCAAGTTTGGGTGTCCCTAGGGTTGACTCCTCTGAGATCCTCCTTAGAGGTACATGTTAGTGTCCATTGTTTGTATTCTGTTTGGACACTGAAAATAAAGAACTGTGAGAGACTCAGGTTTGTACAGATACTTGTTGAATAGCCTTAGATATTTAACTTCCTTTTTTCTGTTCTCTGCCTGAGAAATTAATGCTGAATGGAGGGAGAGATTGCTTTGTGATTATGAAATATTTTATGCACAAAAACATTTTAATAGAGAAATTGTATGGAAGAATGTAATGGCTACAAAACAAAAAGTTAAAAGCTCTTAGAAAAACACAAGAATTTTACTAAATCTATATTCTTACTGGAATGTTTTGTCATGCACTTCTCAAAATGTAATCACCCTGATAGTGAAAAATAGATAGTGATAAACAAGGATTTGAATGCCCAAATAAAATTTCATCTAAAAATTTCAAACAAATATGCACATCAACAATTACACACAGTTGTAACCACTCATGTGATAAGAAATATGTATGTGTCTGTATTTCCCTTAAGCCCAGGGTATATTAACTAATACTGAAGACTTTATTGGTTATAATAAAACTGTCAAAAACCCTTGATTATATATAGACTTACAAGCTACATTATGTGGTCATATAATAATAAAATTAAAACCCAAGAAGTGTAATATACTGTAATGAACATAACTTTCTTAGATTTTTTATAACTTGAGGTATACTTTATATACAGTAAAAATCACCCATTTTAGTTTATGGTTGTATGAATTTTGACAAATGTATTCAGTATTGTCACCACTAGTCACTACATATGAGAGCATCTATTTCTGAATTTACTGTGTTCCATTGACCCATGTATCTTTGCTTTGGTTGAATTATTGAAATTTTATAGAAAATCTTGAAATCAGGTACTACAAATCCCTTTGACTTTGTTCTTTCTCCAAATTGTTTTGTTAGTCTAGTTCATTTGCTTTTCTACATACATATTAACATTAGCCTGTCAATTCCTGCCTGTCAACTCCTTTTTTTAAAATTTTTATTTTATTCATATGTGCATACAATGTTTGGGTAATTTCTCCCTCCTCCCCCCTGCTCCCTCCCTTACCGCCCCCCCACCCCTGCTTCCTCCTTTATCCCCCCTTACCCCTCAATACCCAGCAGAAACTATTTTGCCCTTATCTCTAATTTTGTTGGAGAGAGTATAAGCAATAATAGGAAGGAATAAGGGTTTTTGCTAATTGAGATAAGGATAGCTATACAGGGAGTTGGCATGCATTGATTTCCTGTGCATGTGTGTTAACTTCTAAGTTAATTCTTCTCGAACTAACCTTTTCTCTAGTTCCTGGTCCCCTTCTCCTATTGGCCTCAATTGCTTTAAAGTATCTGCTTTAGTTTCTCCGCATTGAGGGCAACAAATGCTATCTAGTTTTTTGGGTGTCTTACCTATCCTCATATCTTCCTTGTGTGCTCTCGCTTTATCATGTGATCAAAATCCAATCCACTTGTTGTGTTTGCCCTTGATCTAATGTCCACATATGAGGGAGAACATATGATTTTTGGTCTTTTGGGCCAAGCTATCCTCACTCAGAATGATGTTCTCCAATTCCATCCATTTACCAGCAAATGATAACATCTCATTCTTCTTCATGGCTGCATAAAATTCCATTGTGTATAGATACCACATTTTCTTAATCCATTTGTCAGTGGTGGGGCATCTTGGCTGTTTCCATAACTTGGCTATTGTGAATAGTGCTACAATAAACATGGGCATGCAGGTGCCTCTGGAGTAACCTGTGTCACAGTCTTTTGGGTATATCCCCAAGAGTGGTATTGCTGGATCATATGGTAGATCAATGTTTAGCTATTTAAGTAGCCTCCAAATTTTTTTCCAGAGTGGTTGTACTAGTTTACATTCCCACCAACAGTGTATGAGGGTTCCTTTTTCCCCTGCATCCTCGCCAACACCTGTTGTTCGTGGTGTTGCTAATGATGGCTATTCTAACAGGGGTGAGGTGGAATCTTAGTGTGGTTTTAATTTGCATTTCCTTTATTGCTAGAGATGGTGAGCATTTTTTCATGTGTTTTTTGGCCATTTGAATTTCTTCTTTTGAGAAAGTTCTGTTTAGTCCACTTGTCCATTTCTTTATTGGTTCATTAGTTTTGGGAGAATTTAGTTTTTTGAGTTCCCTATGTATTCTGGTTATCAGTCCTTTGATGTGTAGCTGGCAAATATTTTCACCCACTCTGTGGGTGTTCTCTTCAGTTTAGAGACCATTTCTTCTGTTGAGCAGAAGCTTTTTAGTTTTATGAAGTCCCATTTATCTATGCTATCTCTTAGTTGCTGTGCTGCTGGGGTTCCATTGAAAGTTCTTGCCTATACCTATTAATTCCAGAGTATTTCCTACTCTTTCCTGTACCAACTTTAGAGTTTGTGGTCTGATATTAAGATCCTTGATCCATTTTGAGTTAATATTGGTATAGGGTGATAAACATGGATCTAGTTTCAGTTTTTTGCAGACTGCTAACCAGTTTTCCC